TCCCTCCCCTTTCATCCGCCTTTCGATCACGACCCACATAAATTTCCACTATCGGATGCCCCGCGGCGTACCCGACCTCGCCTAACTCTCACTGTCCACAAATTTCCTTCCTTCTCTTCATACTTAAATCGCGCCTCGTTGAAGGAAACAACGTTGGTGACAAACAAAACAACTAGGCGACAGGGAAATATCCTGTCCTTCCAACCGACAAATCCACCACCAGCCTCTCTCGAATCGAGGTAGTCCTTCGTGCGAATGAAACGAACTTCTTCTTCTTCTTCTTTTTCTCCTATACGTACGTGTGCGCGCATAGATCCGCGCGTTAGATCGCGATCGATATCTCGGGCAGACATCTCGCGTGTACCGTGAGCTCGTTTCCTGGTGCGACCGTTGGTGGTCGATTGCACGATAACGATCGCGCCGCTTTGTCCCCGCGGGGAGCTCTCGGTATCAGCGTGGAAGATAATCCGAACATCGAGGCGTAAGTCGCGCTTTAAGTCCCTTTTAATCGACCTCTCTCTCTCTCTCTCTCTCTCTCTTCTTTCACGGTTAAGTCGCGAGAGGGATGTGGTGGCACGTAGAAAGAGAGAGAGAAAGAGGAGGCCTTTAACCCCGCAACGGGGGGAAGGAACGAGGGTTGAGTCGTTTACGGCCGCTTTACATGCAAACTGGAGAAGGAACGGCCTCGCCTCTTGGTCTCGTCTTAAGGCGTTAAGTAATTGCCGCGAGTTGATCCCGGATATGGATGGGTTATCGTTATCAGAGGCCGATCGTCGGTGTTCTCCACCCTCCCGTCGATATTTTCTCTCGCGTAGAGAGACACGGTGTATCGGAGGGATATTTATATTCGTCGTTGACGCGTTTTTTTTTTTTTTCGAGCCGATCGGTTGTTTTCGAACGTTGGATCAGAGATAAAAATATCATTTAATCGTATTTGTTGTTTTCTGCGAGAAAAAGTCTACATTATCGCGTGAGATATTTCACATTTAATAAGAGGGTAATAGGAATATTTTATCCGGCGCGTACATACGTACGTGTGAAACGAGACACGAGTTGAAAGATCGTTACCGAAATGACACCGGTTAGTACGAGCGTCATTTAAACTTTGAATAAGGCGTGTTGACGTGACACGAAGAGGGAAGATGAACGAACGCGCCTCTTCCTCGGGGGAAGAAGTTGGCAAAGAAAGTGTGGGAAGGAACGGCGCCGAAAGCGACACCCGGCGTCAAAGAGGAAAAATAAAAAAAAAAAAATGAAAGGAGGATGGGATGGAACACGCGTAGAATCCGTGGAAAACGGAGTCAGTGTGCGCACGGTCAAGCTGAAAAACGGCCCTCGGCCTGGCTGGTTAATTCGAAAGAGGTCTCGGGCGTGTCATCAGCCATCCGGTTTGGGACCCCTCGCGAGGCTCCTCTTAATCGCGGCGTTTTGTCACTTTTGCGCGGAGAAAAGGGTCGGAGGAAAGGGAGAGGAGAGATCCAAGGAATAACGACAACTTCACGACAGTTTTATTTCGTGGTCGTTTTTATCATTTATTTCTTCATTTGTTCTACGTTAATTCTTCTTCCCAGGCTCTTCTTCTTCTTCTTTTTCTTCTTCGCCTCGACGAATATCCTCGGATATTTGTTCAGGATAGGCATTTTAAAAAACACATCTCGCGTGTTTGTTCGCTCGTCCATGGGAAAATTTGCGAGTGAAGGAAAAGGGGATGAGTTTATTTTTCATTGTGAATCGCCGAGCGCGAATACGACGAGGGGAGAAAAGCGTTGTGTTGGAGAAACGCGTTTGTGCGAGTTGAAAGGAGAGATGAGCGCGCGCGCGCGCGCTAAAGGTAACCCGTGTTTTATGTTTCTGCAATCTTGCGTTTTCCGCGAAACAACCTTAAAAGGAACGAGCCGCGTATCACGATTGAACGTTGCGCGTAAACGACGAGGACGACGACGACGACGACGACGCATCGACGAAACAGGATTTGTTCCCCGGCAAATGTTTGCAGAATATTTTTCGAAGGTATCGTGGCAGAAGAATAAAGCTTCGCGCTACAAAAGCACGCGCGTATCTCCTTTGAATATCTCCTTCTGTTTCTTTGTACACGAGGTGGGTCAACAAGGAAATGGTTGTTGAAAACAAAAAAATATATATATATATATATATATATATATCTCGTTATTCGATAAAAGGAGAGAAGGATTCGTGAAGGATTCTGCTTCGAAGAAGGAGGGAGAGGGGAGGAATAAGTCGAGCGACTTGGCATCTCTCCACCTGATAAATAAAAATAAAACTTGGTATTTCGAGACTCGGCATTTCCACGTCCCCCCCCCCCCCCTCCTAGTTTGCATGGCGCCGTGATTCTTAACTTACACGCGCCATTGTCATTTTCGTAGCGTGGTGGCATATAATACCCGTTTGATTCCGAACTAGGCACTACCACCACCACCACCACCATCATCATTACTATTACGTGTTTATTACGTAGCGACACGGCAAGTTCTCACGCATCGTGTGTATTTTCAAATCGCGTGCCCGAGGCGGAAACATTGACGCAGGTCAGTTGGACGTGACGCGAATCAGGTGTCGCCTCGCTTGCCAAGAATTTCTTCGCGAGCTACTACAACTCGTCTTCGGGATTTTGTTTCGCGGCCAAGCTTCCTCGATATTGAATGAACTGTCGTCAAAGTGACTGGAATCCGTATACACCAAGATGGCTTTACTCGCGCGTGAAATACTCCCGGGGCGATCGTCTTCTCGATAATTTTCCGTGTTAATTAATTTTGCTTAATTTCCGCGAAATCGAGCGGGTTTATACGATGGGAATAAGGCCAACCTTATCGAAGGATCGAAGTAAAGTTTTTCTTCGTGTTTCTTGCGTATGACGATTTGAGAATCTCTGGTTCGAAACATAGTCGGTCACCACTTTGCCTGGCAAACGGAAACCAGATAAACGCAGTTTGAGCCGTCTTGCTATAAATATAGTAGAATCGTCACAATTGTAATCTGTCTCCTTAATAACGCCCTCTCTACTCTTGCACGATATTACTCGAGCATAGACGAAACGTTCGAATTCGCATTGCTCCGTCTCGTAATTTTCATCGCACGTACGTACGGAGAGAAGACAAAAGCTCTCGAGTTTTAAAGTTATAAATCGGAGCTTACCTCGTTTCGAGTTTTAAGGTGACCATTAAGACCTCTGGCCGGCATTTGCATTCGCGACGAGGCGCGTATTCTCGGCGAGAAAGAGAGAGGAGGCAGGCCCGCACCGTGGCCGCGTCATAAATTCCATGGAATAAAGAAGGGCGACGGAGTCTCCTCCTGTCCCTCCCTGTAAATACCGCGGGCCCATTAAAACTTTTCGCGTACTTAGGTCGGAATTTATTTCGACCTAGCCACGTGCACACCCGGCCACGGCAACCGTTTTATGGCGCCAGCTCCTCCTCCCCTCTTCCTCCGTTTGATCCGCGTTATATATTTCTTCTTGTGAAATTGTGAACTTTTCAACGCGCCACGTTTTCGCTCTTTATGCAGGAGATCCTCCCGGATCGAGTAACGATTTTACGCTCCCGTCAAAATTTCATCGAGTTTCATTTGAACTCGAGAAGTTTCCTTTCCTGTTACAATTTTTATTTCGCGCAATATTGGTAATAATGCACGCTGTGCGATCGTATCGATCTTCTTTTTTTATCGCGAATTCTGCCGTAGTAAAGAAATAAAGGGGATCGTTTTAGGGGAGACGTTCGAGTCCGTGGATGTAGATCCCGAATCCGGGGTCTACACGACTTTCGCCACGGAATTCTCTCGTATTTCCCCTTTATCGTTTGTATATCGTTTTCTCCTCGATTTTTCTTCGTCTTTTGGCTCAGAGGAGAATGATTCCGTGTTCCATTCCAATCCATTTCAATCGTAGAAACGCGCGGGGGACGCGTTTTTCCATCTATTCCGAAATTTCACTGTTTCAGAGAAATTCTCTCGTGTTTGGGAAGAGAGGAGGGGAGGTAGTCAGGCCGACGAAAATTCTCACTTGGTAGGATAAATTAGCAAGCGCCGTGGCTCCCTGGTTGCCGGACGTGTTAAACGCGGTTCTCGAATTAGAATTCCCGTTTCGGTGCGGGCCAAAAAGGTGCTCGTGGGCGTTGAGGTAGCTCGTCTCGAGCTCGTTCGTGGAATTCTGACGTTTCTCTTCAATCTCTTTGCCAATACCTGAACCGAGCTGCAAACAATCAACCGGCCGGGTAATCGACCATTGTTTTACGCTGCTAAACTTCGCGAATTTCGCCTACAATAATAATCGTGAAAATAATTAATTCAGAGATCGTAGTTGCGAGGCATAAAGCGCGGAAAAACCAGTATCGCGGTTTCTAACTCGAGCCGTGTATTTTTTTTTTTTTCGTTACGGTCAATAATCGTGTGTCATGTGGATATATTTGTACGCGAAATCAAGCTTATTACTGAACCAACGATCACGATAGAGCACGATTATTATGTCGCGACGGAGCAGCTTGCCTGGATCTATCCGTGTCTCTCTATTCACCGCTATGGAAGAGAGACTAGCTCTCTCGAAGCCTTGAAAATTGCAACGATCCTTGGATCCATTTATAGAATGGAATTCCTTGTCACCCGATTCCCTCGAATCGCATTTTATATATCGTTTCGAGTGTCCCACGATTCGTAACCGCGAAAAGCAGCGCGCACGCTTCGAGAAAAATTATTAACAACCGGAAAAGAGAGGCATAATCCTATTGTTTCCCGAGTTTCACGGAGAGAAAGAAGCAACAATGGAGGCATTAGCGGCGAGTTTGTTCGCTCGATTGTTGCCAGAATTAAAAAATTGTGCGCGCCTTTATGAAGATAAAGAGTTGGAGCCCGGAGAGTTAACCCAGGAGGAGTTGGTCGGTTGGCTCGTCGATTGGCAGATACGCGATTCAAATAATTGCTCGAATTGATTCAGGAAGAAAGAAAGAAAGAAAGAAAGAAAGAAAGAAATCAATATATTGCTATTTTACGAATATTCGGAAGAAATATTTCTTTATTTCTTCGTGTAGTTTATTATCATTGAAGTTTGTAGACAAGTTTTTAACAATCTCGATATGTTGCGAACGACGTACAACAACATATTAATTATCGAGACATCGATATATTTTTCGAAGATATTGTTTTCGATTTTTACATTCCAATTATCCAATGAATCATATTACTCATATATTATTTATATATGCGTTCGCCAATTATTATCTTGGTTAACGGGAAATTATCGATATTTTGTTTATTTAATTTTTATCATTAGCTCATAGTATCGAATTCTTAGGTAACGATTACGTTGCAACGTAAACAAACATCATTTAAAATAGATAATCCAATAGTTAATCTAAAAAAGCAGAAGTATCACGAATGAAATTTCCCTTCCTTATTTATTACAATTTTTCTATTCTGCATAACTATTGTTGTTAATTTTATTACGCTTAATTTTTACCACGAAAACACGAACTCGTACAAACACATACAAGATAAAATAAAATTGTTGGAAAACAGGGATCGATACACGGCAAGGAAATATATATACACGCTTAGAATCGGTTCCATTTGCATTTCATTGCCCGTTAATCTTTCGAAATTTTAAGCTCTTATCTAACCGTAGATCTCACGAGTTCTTACATCGCCGTACCAACACTTTACCTGTTCGTTCATTATCACGTAGACGAGAGATCGAGAAAACAGTTTTCTTTTTAATCTATTGTTGTGTAACGAATGTTAGAAGGTGTACGATAAAAATATTCTTTATTTGTCCGTACAATTTGATATTACCGACTGATTTCTAAAGAATGTTTGGACATTCCGAGAGCGGTGTGCAGGCCTTGGTCTTCTCGTTTCTCACAGTACCACGCGTACATCGACAATCTCTCGTAATTTCCGAGTTGCACGGCTGAAATTTATACGTAGTTTAATTTTTAGAATCCTGTGACGATGATCGGATAATTTAATTTTCGATCGGGCTTACGATCGGTGGACAAAGTTCGGAATCCGAGTTTGGGTTGTTGCAACTTGCTTCGCACAATTTTCCACATACGTTCATTTCTTCGTTCTTTTCGCACTTTATGTCATTGCCCGTCACCTTCCGTTCTCCGTTAATATCTGTAATATCAGGGAAAAATCTTAACCAATATCTTGGAATTATAGAAAAGAAAACAAGGTTTTTTATTTATCCGATTTTCGTCGGATCGTTCAATTTATATGAATTCGATTTTTTTTGTCGTTAGTGTCGATCGATTGTTTTAACTCGTTGTGTATCGATTTGCAGAGAAATTGGAATACTCACGGACAAGAATCGTAACGATGAACACGCACACGATGTATCGTGACATGGTGGTGGCGTGTTTTTCTCCGAAAAGTATTATATCAACTCTCGAACTTCTAACGTTTCCTCTTCTAACGTCGAATCTCTTAAACACTCGATTTTTATACCCAACTTTTCGTGTTGCATCGCGTGCATTTTCTGGTATCGAATCGTGAAGATAGCATGCACGATAAATATAAGGATTTGAAAATGGTTGACTCATGCGATCGTTATTTATGTAATGTCTTTACTTACTGTATTCGAATCAATGCAGAATTTATAGTGTTTCTCTTCCAGAGGATGCTAGCAGATATAAAACCGATTTAACATTTAAAGGGAAAAAGAAAGAGAAGAAAAGACAAGAAAACGTCTTTTTCCTTTCTTTTAATTATTATTTTTTTTTTTCCTCTTACAAATATTGGAAAACAAATATTAAGAATATTATTGCTAATTATAGTCTGTTTATTCGATACAAGACTTATTTTCTACTTGGACAATGATAGATATACAAGGATCTTCTAGTTATTTTTTACTTTTCTGATATATAGATTAACATCGAAGTCTATTCATTCTAAAGGACAAGGCTTGGATGGTGTTGAAGGACATTCTGAAAGCGGTACACAATTATTATTTTCGTTTCTAACGGTGCCCTTAATGCATCGACAACCTCCTGTCTCTTCCCACCGACAAACCTAAAATAATTTTTATTCGTATCGTCATTATTATGTATAATGAATTTTATGAATGAGATAATTTATGGTATATCGATTACTTACAGGTCCTACACCTATGCGTTGCTGACATAATTTCACGTTTCCACGATTAGAGCAAGTTGGTGGGCACAGGCCTTCTCCACATATAGACGGTTCTTCATTCGGTCCGCATTCTATATATGGGATCACCTCCGCATTAATATCTGTACATAGAAAGCACCAAAGTATTTAAAGTTAATTCTTGTAAAGTGTTACTTTATAACTTCTTTCATCTAGCACAAATCTGTTTCGTGCGTGTTTATTTTTTTTTTTTGTCGAAAGTGGTGGAAATCCAATTTTTATTATATTTTTATCTAGCTCAGAAAAAACGAGTAAAATTTTGTTTATCTTATAAAAAAAATTTAGTTTCTCGAGATAATAATCACTAATTAATTTATACAAAGTGCATTTTTTTTTTTTTTTATTCATTAACTCGAGCGAAGAATACTTACAAACGACGACAGCAACGAGAACATAGACGATAACGTATCGAAACATGATATTCTTTTTTTTTCGTTTCGTGTTTCTTCAACTTGTTTCCACTTCTAATGTTTTCTGACTTCTGATGTTTTCGAATTTTTTAAACCCGATATATATATATATATACACGTTACACACGTTAAATTATTCCTCGATCCTTGAAGATAATTGTTAAAAGCGATACAATAATAAGTGTAAAACTTCGATAGTTTAACCTTGACTCGCGTGATAATTGTAAAATGATCGATTAAATACGTTCAAATTAACTTAAAAATTTCGCCAATTCCTATTTTTATCGCCGAGCAATTTCCTCGAGCAATCTCTTTCGCATTCGTGCGAATATCATTGTTTCCACGTTATATCTTAAACGTTGCAAAAAATTGTGTCGATAATTTCGTATCGATACATTGTTTTTTACTTTATTTCTCTACCGCAAAAATTATCTCCTCCTCCCCCAACTTTACGAATACGAATATTTTTCACGAACGATCGAGTCGTTACTACAAACTCGATAACATTTAAAACGAGTTCAGAAACTTTGCATCTTTGCACGCAGATACGTGTTAAAATTGAATGTCGATTAGCGGTGATTCGAAACGACTCGAATCGGGCTTCGAATCCCGAACGAGGAGTTGTGTAGCGCACTTGCATCGAGCGCATAAAATAATCAGTCAACGACCGAGCTCTGCCAGGCTGCTAGGCTAGGCGCGCGCGCTGCTACTTTTGCGTCAGGGTCGACTCGGTTTGTGTCGTAACACCGTTGGGCTAGGTTAGTAATATCGTTCGAGCCGGCCGAGCTATTTACTAGCTCTATTCTTACGCGCCAGCCAACCAGCACGCGCCTGCTCACCGATACACACGCCGCTCGATGCTCTTCCCCCTCCTCCCCACTCACCTATGCCTATATATGTACATGCGCGCGCGCGCGTGTGTAGGTAGCTCGGTGGCGACCAACTGTGCGATAAAGCAACGATATATACGTATCCCCTGCGAGTCTCTATCGTTTATCCGATGTGTAGATTCCGATTGGTGGATGGATCGTTGCTGGTTTGTACACTCGTTGTAGCTTATCGAACGATCGCCACGTACTTAACCCCGACCTCGTCAACGTACTTACTTACTCACCTCCCCCCCCTCGTTGAGCCGAAATTTTCCTTCCATTTCTGGAAATTCTTTTTATTCTTAAATTTACTTGGTCCGAAAAATTATCGCGTTTTTGTTCTCCGCGTCACGTATTCGGAGGAATGCGAGGCAATCTAGGAAAATAATACTTTTAATTTACTATACTATGTTTTTAATTTAAATTAAAAACTCTTCCGATTGAACGAGAGAAAGGAGAAGAAACGGTGGAGAGGAAAGATACGGGAGAAAGAAGAAGGTGTGTGGAATTCACCAGCAACTTTCCCATCGACCCAGAGATAGCAAGCAGTTCTCTCGAAGCGTATCTCGCGGGGTGTAAAGTTCACGGTTGAGCGTAACCGAGAAGCGCGTTGAACCGTGAAAAGGTCGCATATTTATGTCATTAAGAGAATCCGTTCTCCTCCGTTCCCTCTCCATCCTCGTGACCACGGCAAAGGTGGTGGACTGGTTTCTCTCCATTATTGGCCTAGGTTAGTTGCGCGATACCGCGATCTTCGACGAGGTTGTGTTATTATTATTACACACCTCGTCAACGAGGAGGAAGGATAGCCCACGCGAATTGTCCCGCGCGATCCATTCGAGAAAACGGTGTCGTGTCACGTTATCTGTTACGTCACGTTCTTATGAACTTGCTCGCGCGCAATAAACCGGCTACGTGGCTACGCGCGCGCGCGCGCCTCTCCCCTCCTCTACGTGATGGACCGTGGCCTCCCTTTATATATATTTATATATATATATATACATCCTTCTCATTCTCGTTCCGTGAATCATTGCGAGAGAGACCGGCTAGGAGGATGTTTTGCGCCGCAACCAAGACGTTTGAATTGAATAAATATCGAGAAGGATATCTGGGCTGCGAACGAGAATGCGTCTCGTCCGGGGGAAGGGAGGGATCGTCGTTGCCCTTCGATGCATTTATATAGAACGAAATGATCGATGGATATCGTCGAAATTTTTGTTTCTCTTCGGTTCTCTTTTTCTTTCGTAGTTAATGTTCTGATCGAATTAAGTGAGTCTCGAATTTTTTTTCAAATTGTTCCATGCAATTTTCCTAGTATTCTTAGTCAGGATGTCTTGAAGGATAACGGAAGAATCGATGGATATCGTCGAAATTTTTGTTTCTCTTCGGTTCTCTTTTTCTTTCGTAGTTAATGTTCTGATCGAATTAAGTGAGTCTCGAATTTTTTTTCAAATTGTTCCATGCAATTTTCCTAGTATTCTTGGTCAGGATGTCTTGAAGGGAAGAATTGCGGGAAGAATGTTAAACGGGTCGAAAAAGGGGGTTAAAGATGTAACGCGGTGTGCTCGCGACATCCAGAAGCTCGTTAAAATAGGAGGCGGACGGTTCAATCGTTCTCCTTGTTAGCCAAATTGGATAACGAGTCTTTCGCGTCGAATAATTGGCCGATTCGTGGCGGAGAGAGGAGACTCGGTGTGTTCTCCTCTCGTGGAAGACAAATCAATTCTACTTGGCCGATGTAACTCGTCCTCCTCTCGCGCTCCACGTGCTCCTCCATCGTCCGTATCGTTTCTCTCTATGTTTCTTCACGACGATGATCGTGAAGAAGAATTATGCAAATTTCTCATCCTTTTTACGAGAGGAATTGCGTTTAAGGAATCTGTTTTACCGTTTCAGAATTTTCGTATCGAGCCCTCTGTTCCGTGGAGTACAACTTGCATAACGTTTCTCAAATTTTCCAACGACTCGTTCGATGGAAACTCGACAGACTTTTTTTGCATCGCTGAATAACTAGCAACATTTTTTTTCTTTATAGCATGTTAAATTCATAAGAATCGCGATATATGTATACAATTTGCTCGGATATTTTTGCATATAAAATGCTGCGTTCCGTGGTTTCTTGCGCAACGTTTCGATTCCCCGCCAATAAAACCCGCACTCGATAGACTCGAACAAACGTTACAACTTCCTCCGTTTCCTAATTTCTAATTCGTAAAAAAAACCACAATGCATGAAATAATCACCTTTGAATGTCCCCCCCCCCTCTCCCCCTCCTTTTTTTTTTTAATCGACACGCAAATTCCATAAATTTTCCTCCACGAAACTTACTCGCTTCTGCTCAACTTGCTCGAAAACTCGATACACGAAACCAGATACACGACTACCGCTTCTTATCGGCGAACATTTTAAATTCATCGAAAATCCTTTTCCATAATATCTCTTTCAACGTGTGCAACCGCAACTATGAATCCGAACACGCTTATCTCCTCCGAATCTCTCCAATTAAATTCGCGCAGCGGTGGTGGTAGCGAAAACAAACGTAGTTTTTCCCCCTCCCTCCACACATGGAACGACCTCGCCGCCGTGTATCCACGATTCCTCCTTCCCCCTCTGCCGTGCCACGAATGGAAACGTCCGCGCCGCGACGTGTAAACACTCGCGCTTCTGCGTCGTATCGGAAACGATTATATAGCTGCTCCGTCGACAATCGGGTTTTTCTTGGGCTAGGTTGCGCGCTATCGTCTGGCATCGACCGTTGTTTACCGTCTCGCGGTCTATTCTCAGCGCCCGCTTGGCGCTGTTATCTTGCGTGTCCTCGCACGCTCTTGCAACTTCGTAAGGAGGCGATAACAACACGCCTTCCTTCCCCTCTCCCTTCGAGCAGGAATCTTTATCTTGTTGCCAGCGATTGCGAGGAATGCGCGGCGCTCGATAAAGATGGAGGAGAGCTTTTTCCAGATCCATTGGATATTCGAACGAGCCGAACGTTATGGAGCCGTACGCGTGGTTGGAATAATGGAGTATCTCTTTGAGTATCGCATATATACACGTCAGTCAAATGTCTTCTTGTTCAAGAAAAATAAGATTTTAACGCTTTTGCGCTCGTGTTTATATTTAAGAAGGTTACTAATCGAGTAACAAGAGTCCTTTAGAATTATATTATACCATGTATTTGTAAATGTATGTATGTAAGTATACATCACGGAATTTAAAATTTAAGAATAATAGAAAAGAGGGACGATCCATCAAGCGAAACATCCGTCTGCATACCTACTAATTTTAAATCTAAAATTATGAATCGTATGGTAACATAGGAGAGTGCTGTTACGAATTTCAACCGATAATGCAGAACTGAGTTGAATTAGAGGCTTATATTCAAACGAGAATACTTAAGATCGACTTTGGAAAATCTTCGAACGGTTGAAACGGACGAAAAAAGGGGGTAGGGAGCGAAGAAGTAGAACTAGAGGCATTGAGAACAACTAATTCAAAATATATATATAAGTATACAAAATAAAAATGCTCTCCGACAGCAACATTTGGCCCTGTGAGAAACTCGCGCTGGTCGCCGAACATATTGAGGAGGATTTTAAAAACGGAAGTTTGCCGTATAACCGTTTCGATTTACGCGAAACGATAACAAAATAGATCATCGACGATGAATATCATGAATATGATATCGTTAAGCGATATTATTTTACATTGAAATTGAATCTCATCATCTCTGGCACGAGAGAGAGAGAGAGAGAGATAAAATACAATCGACGAAGCGGAAATTGTGTTGGGAAAGAAAAATTTGATCATGACAAATCATCGTGATACGATACACTGATCCGTGTAACGAAACGAAATTCTTTCGAAGCAATCGACGATATCTCTCCCGTGAACAAAGATGCTCTCGAGCCCCCCACAAATCACGTTATCCGTAGGATAATTAGACGTGTCCCTTGTTCCTGGACGAACACGCGCCGATAAATAATCTCTGCCCCTTCTTCGTGACGGGGGCAGAAAACGAACGAACGAACGAACGAACGCCGGCTTCGTTTCTTAATGAGACGTCGACGCGTCTCACGTGTTTTCCCCGGTCGACCGACTGCTCCAGGGCTACGTAATGAACACGTATGCTCGGCCACGGCTCGCGCTTTTCCCCTCGCTGCGTGTGGCGGAACTACGAGAAAGACAGAGCGAGAACGGTGTCGGTAGTGCAGTAAACTCGTGCCGGTGGATAAATATACGGTATTATGTAAGTTGTTTGCTGCCAAGGGGACGAGGTGGGGAAGGGGGAGAGAGGGGGGAGAAACGCGCGAAGTGGTGCGTGTCTATCGGGTGTTCGCGCAAGTATAAAATTTAAGATTTTTAGAGATGGAGATAATGCGAAAGTTAATGGCGCGCAGAAGTTTTAGATAGAAAGTTATTTTGTGGCGTGGTTGAACGCGGAAGAAGTTCATTTGTCGGATAACCTAGCAGGCGAAATTTATATAGTTATCTTCGTTATCCCAACTTCGATAAACGGAATTTCGGTTATACGTGAACTTGGTGGCTCCATCCTCGAGTCATCCAAGAATTGTGGTTCGTGCTTG